TTGCTCTTTGTTATTGCTATATACAAGAGAAAATATTTAGTTAATAAAATAGCTCAATGTTTGTGCTTTTTTTAACAAAGTGATTTGTTTATTACTGTAGTATAAAGCTCTCAACATTTATTTTTCTTTGCTCCTATATATCTTGCAGGAATCGTTTTTTACTTGGAAGTCAGGATTACCACTAGTCCTGTCATTGAGACCAAATGCATAAAAATTATCCCAAAAAATCAAAGAAACCTAAATGGAGAGTGAAAGGGCATTTTATCGAGGAGTTATTTGCACTTCGAATGAGGAGAGTAAACTTAACACCAGACTTGGAGTAAAACCTGATGGGGTTACAATTACTCCTCATCTGATAAATTACTCTCTTTATAGAGTTAAAGTAACGTCATATTTGGAGTAAAAACGGATGGAGTTAAAATTACTCCTCGATTTATAGAATTAAAATTACTCTTCTAATAGAGTTGAGGTAACCCTAGATTTAGAGTTAAAATTTAGGAGTTACAATAACCCCCAAAATGGAGTTATCCTGTTCCTAAAATTTGTACTCCAAAGAAGCGTTAAAACAACCCATGTAAGGAGTTAAATTAATCTCATTTTACAGTTTTTTTAACTCCATGACTGGGAGTAAAAACAACTCTTTTAAGAGTAGAATTTACCTCAGATTTGGAGTTAAAATAGGAGTTAAAGTAACCCCCAAACGAATAAAGCCAACTCATGTAAGGCGTAAAAATAACTCCATTTTTAGAGTTATTCTAACTCCAGACTGAGTCAAAATAACTCTTTTTAACGGAGTAAAAATAACCCCAGATTTGGAGTTAAAATAGGAGGTAAAGTAACCCCCAAAATGGAGTTATCCTGTACCTAAAATTTTTGGTCCATTTTTAGAGTTATAATAACTTCCTAAAAATTACTTTGTAGTAATAATAATAATAAATGTTTTTATGCTCGGTGCGTTGGGAATTATGCGTGCCAATGGAGGTTACGTAATGCGTACTGCATTCAGGCGTGTTCATCACTCTTATTGTTGGGTTGTGTTTAAATAGGTTCACCACGTGTTGTGCTCTTACTTTAGGTCATTTCAGTGGGTGTAATCGACCGTCACTGAGTTTTCCTCTTTCTTCCTTTTTTCTTTACAGGTCATTCAGCGTCCAGAGACTTCCTCGGGGTTTTCATCGGCTGTCTCCTCTGTCACTCAAAGAAATTTTACTAATTCTCGTCCTCAAACGTCAAAGGGCGCCTTTGTTAAAGGCCGTTATGACATCTGCTTTGCCTGCGGCAAGACCGGCCATTGGAGAACAAGTTGCCCCAACTTATTCTTCACTCCCGGATCAACCTACAAACAGATCCAAAGCTTGTCAAGTAAAGACAGCGGTTCTTCTGGGCAGCAGTAGTTCTATTGCTGATAGTAAAGCAGTAACAGAAACTCTTGATCAGCTCTAGAGGAGTGTTTTGAATTTGAGAATTCTCCCATTCCTCAGAATGCGTTTTTCGACAATAACCATTTAGCACTTACGCACGCTGATTTTGTTTAAATTTGATCTCAAATGTGGCTACCACCATATTGATATTTTGCAGGATCATCAAACTTTTTTAGGGTTTTCTTGGGTTGTTAATGGCGTAAGGAAGTTTTTTTGTGTTTACAGTTCCCCCTTTTGGGCTGTCCTCAGCTCCTTATATTTTCACTAAGGTTGTTCGTGTTCTCGTGCGATATTGGAGAAGTCATGCTGTGAGAATAACAGTTTACCTTGATGACGGGCTTGGTTCCGCCCGTGATTTCGCCCGCTGCGAAGCTGCTTCATTATTTGTTAAGACTTCGCTTTAGCTTTCTGGTTTCCTGCCTAATAACAGTAAATCGATTTGGCAACCAACTTCTTGTTTAGTCTGGTTGGGTTATTGTATTGATTTAGCCGTTCATACTATTTCCATTCCTTCAGTTAGGATTCTCAGTGTCGTACAGGTTATTGATTCAATTCGTTCTCAGTATCCTTCTAGTACTGCTAGAAAATTGGCTCAGTTTGTCGGTAAGGTTATCTCTATGGGTTTCGTCTTTGGTAACGTTACTCGTATTATGACAAGGTATTCTCATTTTGATATTTTAAGAAGCCATACATGGGACGAAAACATTTCCCTGTCGGGTTCAACTCTGAAGGAATTATATTTTTGGAAAGAGAACATTCCTTCCCTAAATAGTGCGCGCCTCTTGTCTACACAGTTCCATTATTCCCGTGTGTGTTACTCCGATGCGAGTTCTACAGGCTGCGCCAGTTAGATGTTAGATCTTCACAACACCATTTCTCACAAGTTGTGGAGTGTTGATGAGGCGCAGAAGAGCTCCTCTTACAGGGAACTTAAGGCCGTTTCCATGGGTCTAGAATCTTTTTTGCCGTTACTTAAAGAGCGCACTATTAAGTGGTATACTGACAATCAGAGTGTTGCTAGAATCGTTGAAGTAGGAAGCATGAAGGACGATTTGCAATGCTTAGCTTTGCGTATTTTTAGTATGTGCTTGCTCAGTTGCATCACATTGGAAATTGAATGGATTCCGAGATCGGCTGATGATAGAGCTGATTTTTAGAGCAGAATTGTGGATTATGATGATTGGCGGGTCAACAGGGACTATTTCCTTTTGGCCAAAGAGAAATGGGGTCCTCACTCTGTGGACCGGTTTGCGAATCATGAGAATACTAAGTTACCCCGTTTTAATAGCAGGTTTTGGTGCCCTGGTACAGAGGCGGTTGATGCCTTTTCTGTTTCTTGGGCGGGCGAGAATAATTGGCTCGTTCCACCTATTTTTCTCATCCCCAAGGTCCTTAATCACATGGTTGCCCTTGGCGGTCGCGCTACACTTGTTGTTCCTGCTTGGCCTTCCGCCCCATTTTGGCCTTTAATTTTTACTGACGAGGGTTTGTCTCCCATATTCTCTGATATTTTTGAGATCCCCTTAGATACTGATGTTTTCGTTTCGGGTAACTATAAAAATTCCCTTTTTGGATCACCTAATTTTCGTTCAGGGGTTTTGTTTTTGCGGTTTTCCTAGAGAGGCCTTAGTTAACCCCCCCCCCCTTTTTTTCAGTCTTGTAGGGGCTTTTTCTCTGTAGTTTGTAGAGTTCTTACGCTCATACCACATGGTATCCGAGTATTTTGGGATGCACTTGGATCCTTGTTGTGGACCACTTGGTCTTTTTTATTACGCAAGGGCCACTTTGGCCCTTAGTGGTAATACTTTTCTGTGTTTTTCTTGGGACCACTTGGACCCAACCTTACCTTGTTTCACCACGTGTTGGATTTTTCTGATATATTTTTTCTTTGGTCCTTTTTGTCATTTTATTTTCTCTATTTTTTGCTTCAGATGTTAAAGCAGCTGCCAGTCGGACGTTTGGCGTTTTACTTTGTGAGAAGTTTTGGCTCTCTGCCTTTAATTCTCGAGCTGATAACACAGTTATTAATTATTGTAAATCATTTTGTAAGTTTAAAGCGTGGTGCTTGCAGAGTACTGGGGAGGTTTCTTTTCTCCCAGCTACTTCCTTCACAGTTTCCTTGTATTTGCATCATTTATTAGAAAATTCGTTAGGTAGTTCCACCATTTACGGCGTTTTTTACGCTATTAACTGGGTACATAAGTTATCAGGTTTTGAGAATCCCAATCCGTGTGACAACTTTCTCGTCAGGTCTATTGTTGAGGCTTCCAGTCGTGCTCCTCGTAAACCTGTCAGGAAGGCGGAGCCCATTACCCCAGAGATCCTTGGCTTAATTTTGCAGCATTATGGGGAAAGTAGTAACTTACTTGATATCAGGTTTGCCTGTATGTGTTTACTCGCATATACTGGCTTTTTCCGCATTTCCGAGCTTTTAAGCATTAGGAGATCTAATTTTGTAACTGAAGATCTCTATCATAAGATTTTCATAGAAGTTAGCAAGACTGATAGGTACAGAGAGGGTTCCTGGGTTTATATTGCCAAGACTGGCAATTTTACTTGCCCTTATACATACCTTATTAAGTACTTAGAAGCTGCCAGGATTCCTTCTTTTTCTCAGAATTTCATTTTCAGATCCTTACGGTACGACAAGGATTTGAAGGGCAATGACTTGTCTTCAAAACCCCTCACTGCTAGCAGGGCGGGAGAAATTATTAAGGGGAAGCTGAAAGCTATTGGATTAGACCCTTCTAAGTTTAGTAGTCACAGCTTTAGGTCCGGAGGAGCTACTTCCGCTGCTAATCAGAGTGTTCCAGAACGGCATTTCAAAGTTCACGGAAGGTGGAAGTCAGATTCAGCTAATGACGGCTACGTCCACGATAAAGTCGACTCGCGTCTTTATGTTCCTTTGCACATTGGAATTTAATTTATTCAATTTTTGTACGAGTGGGTTTAGATTCAGTTTGTATTTTTCCTATCATTTATACTTCTGTATCATGTAAGTTGTGTTTGTTAGGAGGTCGTATTATACCACTGCCGACCTATTCCTCCTATACAATAAATTCATTATTGTGTATTTGCTTGTGTGTTTCATTATTACAGAGTTAAAGCATAAATAAGTTATTTTCGGTTCGCAGTTTAGAAAATAATGGAATTTATATAGCGCTTATACATCGCTGTTCTAAGCGCTTCAAATAGCTCGTATTTTGCAGATTTTTCCAGCACCTGAACATTGCTCCAATCGATTGCGCAGAGATTGAAATCACCTACCAGAATCAATTTGTTGTGTGAGATTTCACTTAGGGAGAACTTGAGGTTCTCTAAGGCTTCAAATCATTATTAGGCAGTCAATAAAATACACCTACAATCCTGGACAAAACTACTTGAGAACGTTTCCCCCTTAATGCGCACTAGCGTACGTAACAAAACTGTTTCGAAAACAACTGATTTCCGCAGCCAAATCCCTTCCCCCGGTCAAAGTTGCTTTCTACAAACGTCCAAGGATCTGGGTTGCTTTAGAACACACAACAACATTGCTTCCAAGGGGAGGGGGGAGCGGAAGAATCGATACAGCTTGGATGTTTAGAAAAATGCTCTGGAAATGTGCAGTTTTCTCAAGAGTTTTGTCCAAGATTGTAGCGTTAATTTCTTTCTATTTGGGAACACAATCTCGACAAATTCCAGCTTCGACGTGTTAGAACAAAGGCCGCCTCTCAGGTAGGCTTTACAGGAGTCACCTATCGCTATCAATATTCCTCCGCCATGTCGCCCATGAAGTTCGCGATTACATCTAAATACAGTACAACCTTTAGGAAAAATTTCCCTATCTGTTGCAGTGTTATCCAAATGAGTTTCAGTGAGAAGAACTATGTCGTACGTATTGGAAGCTAGTTCCAGGTTTAGAAAACTCCTCTTGCTGGCAATACGTCTTGCATTAGTATAAAATACTGACAGCAAATTTGTGTTTTTGCGATTAGATGGAGAAAGAGAGGCGCCATGTTGACCACTGTTTGCAATGTGGGATGGGCCACTTACACCACGGACTCCAGTAATTGCAGGGCGAGGATTTTCTTCAACATCTCCGCTCTGCCTCACTTTAATAGGTCTGAAGGTGGATGTTCCATTTCCATAGTAGGAATCCTTGAGGGAAGGAAAGCACACGTACATCTAAAATGGAAAACATGAGACAATGTTTTTCAATGAAAACAGTGTCAAGCAGAGCTTTCCTGGGCTTCGAATGAACACAGTGGAGATTTGGCACAATTGCAATGAGCGTTTGGCGTGAACACAACAAAAATTGCGGAGCTAACAGAGATACGTCTGACCGGCTTCATGTTCGCATATCTTGTATTGAGAGTGTTCAGGACAGTGTTAAAAAACAAAACTTGGCAGACGATTTTTTTTAAGAGATCTTGATTTTAATTACCATTTCACAAACAGAAGATCAGTCGAGTAGGTTTTGTTTGCCTTGCAGTAATAAGGTTAGAAGCACCCGGGCTGAATTTTCTGTTATTAAAACCAGCTTTCACGAAAGGGAGCATGGCGATAATGGCTTTTGAACAAATGTCCACATCACCTCATGGTTTTGTTGCAGGCAGCGTAATTCAATGGCTGAAATGCCAGCTTCTCTCATTGCTTCATCTTGATCATTACTAATACTTCGTAACTATGATGCAACTAATACGACACTTTTCTTTTTGTTTGAGTTTCACTGCCGCGAACAACTGGTAAATTAAACTTTCCCCCAAACCCGTGGGAAGAACAGCCACAACATTCTTTTGCCCCAGTAAACCAAAGACAACCTGGTGCTGCTCTTCTTGGAGTACATATTTGCTAGAAAATTGTGCCAAACAGTCATCAAAAACAAAAGATAAGGTCAACACAAGCTTGTAGTATGAATGCACCCCAAGTCACAATCTGTTATTTTTTATACAAATTACAATAGTAAGTGTCGGTGGTTAGCTCCTCCAGGCAATAACAAACACTTCCACGCGCATGACACGAGCATGATGAGTCCTTGACATGATGATGACAGGATAATTGTCAATCAGCCAATGGTAATTTGCTTTTCCTGGGAAAAGCAAGTTTCAGTTGCTCCCAAATTACCCACCCATACCCCCTTGCACTGGCGGTCAATAAATCCTCCAAGGTTTCTTTTTTACCACCCCACTTGACGGACTTTGAAGAGAAAATGGAGGGTCTGTGAACAGACTACTAGCTACACAACTTTTAACTCATGCCAAAATGCTGCTTGTTCCAATACCCTGGACCCCTTGGTAAAAAGACAGACTCAGAAATAGTAACTAATGCATACATGACGATTTTTCCATGAAAAAAGTTCTATTATTCTCGCAAGCTGGCCAATCAGAGAGCCGCTTTGACCCATTGCGCCTCATGCATGTGGAGAACACAAAAAATGTGAAGAAAACCAGCTGAGCTGGTACAAGTGGCTCCAAAATCGAGACACTTTTTCCCACAAGGACCTCCCAAATGGCAAAGACTTAAAGGGGGGAACACCTGAAGAAGAAACTAACTAGTTTATTTAGCACATACTCGAGTGACATTGTTATTAACAATCTTGTTGAAAATGCTTCCTCTCAGCAGTCCGGGCCACAACCAGATCTGGATATATGATGACGTCATCAACATTTGCAAAATGGCGCCCACGCCGAGAAACACGAGGGAAGGTCACTTCCTGGCTCTTTGCTGCGCCTAGAAGTGTCCTTTCCCCATACTACTTTGAGAGCTGTGACTTTAGACAATGAGAAATCAGGGGTGTGAAGAAAAAATGCCGTCCGATGAACGTTTGTGCGTTCTTGGGAGGTAAAACGACCGAACACGAGAGTTTTTCAGCTCAAAGAAATGCCCGACAAGGAGCAAAACATCGAAAAAAAGAAGGTGAGTGTCATTTTTTGGACCTTTGGAAAAAATTTTTTTGAAATCTACATAAAATTTGCTTGTTGATAGTGGTCTGTTTGGTGTAGTGCAAAGCAGTTTCATATAGTGCTGTGCTTTTAAAGATGCAAAAGTCAGTTGCGCAGTTAACTTGCGGGTTTTTGTAACGCCATGTTTATTTTATGTTATTTTGCAGTCGGATGGAAAAGCACCTTGGTTTTTTGGAAAGAAGATGCCGTTTGTGTGGGAAAACTTTCTCTAAGTCAAAACTGTCCAGAACTGCGACAAAACAGCGTTTCGAAGGGAACTTTTGAACTTCTTTGGCGTAGATATTGGGCTGGACTCCAGAGAAATCCATCCACAGAAAGTGTGTTCGGCTTGTAGGAGAGTCGTTTATCATTTAAATTCGGGTAACTTGGAGCCCGAAACCTCTGAAGGGAGAAAGCAAGGAATAAAACTGTTTCTGTGGAAGGAACACTCATCAAACTGCTATTGCCTGCAGAAACTCAAGGGAAGGCCTTCAAAGAAGGAATTATGCAACAATGCAAACCAGTGCAATTTTCGATTACTGAAGTAAAATGTCAATGCTGACAATATAATAAGAGCATTGGTCATCCCTGGATAAGCCTTTCATTTCAATGAAATAAATGTACACAGATTGAGGTACATAAAAAAATGCCTGTATTTTCAATTGCTCATATAATTTTTCAATTTATTATTTATTTGTTAGTTTACTTTGCCTTAGGTTATGACATGCAAGGTGGAAAATGTGAAGAATGGCTGAAAATACACTTTAAACAGGACACCAAATGATCGATCTTACAAAACTGTTCCATATTTCATAATTACAGTCAAACCCCATTGATATGGCCATAGGAAGTGTCTATATAACGGAGGTGTCCATATCAAGCAGGTCCTGTTATAAAAGTCAAAAATACACTTTTTTATCGAAATACTACAGCATCACACCTAACATCTTTAAACATCACTAAGCTCTTATTCTGCAGACTCTGTCCATGAAAACACACGGAAGTCTCGAGAAAATCGATCAAAAATTATGTAACATTTACCAACTCGATTGATGTCAAAATGGTCTATTATTGATGTGCACAATTCATTCATTTTGGTGTTCTATGATGCTGGGAACATGGACATGACGTCAATTAAGTGAAAGGTTTTTTACCCTACAAAAAAAGAGGTTGACTACAGCACACAATGGACTACAAAGTGTGCGGATTAGCGAGGTTGACTTTATATGAGAATCTGTTCCTTGAGGAAGAAAAAAACGTACATTATCCACTTTAACAGGTCAGTCTGTATTAAGCGGGTTGAATAAAGAGGAAAATTAACGATTTTCCCCAGTGACCAAGGAAACTTCCCATAATAACAGGGGGTCGACATTAAGCTGGTGTCCGTAAAGAGGGGTTTGACTGTATGATACAGGACAAACGTAATTTAATAATAATAGAGGCTTAGTGCCCACTAAGGTTTTCAGTGTGTATGTATTCCACCTGCAGTGACAGGATATTACTATAATGGCATAGTTTTTACACTAAATCAACAAAACTCAGAAACCCAGGCATTGCTTGGGATACAAGACAGCCTTCATTAATCATAACAAAGTACAATACATGGTAAATACCTAAAAGGCAATATTTACTCTAAAAATAAAGTGCTCCAACAAATAAGAAAGACCAAATTAAAAAAGAATTAAAACAACCTCAATCAAATAATAAATGTTACGAATGCGTTACTTCGTATTGCGTTACTAAGGTGCATGCGCACCAGCTTAGGGGGCGAGGCCCGATGATTGTGTAATCGTTTGTAATCCTGCTTTGTGCATTATGCCTATATCGTGATCGGTTATGTGAACGTTTATAAGGTCCAATCATTTTAATCGGGAAAAGAGGTATGATTCTTCGTTTAATATATATTTTTTGCCTTTATTGTTGCATGAATCACGGATAAATCAGTCTTTATTTACCTACCGAACTAGTCGATTATCGTATTTGCTTTGTATCATGTTATCGCCGAGTTATTTAAGACATTGTGTTCAAGTCTCTTAGCTACTCTCGATAATTTCATTGTTGTTTCTGTTACAGTTTTTACGTGCCTAAACGATAAATAAATTTGTGAAGTATCACCGATCGCTATCTATGGTTTTGGTCGATACCTTTAACGCAACGTGATGACCAGTACGCTACAGTAAAAACTCTCCCACTGTGAAAGGACTTTATTATGGAAAACGTGGTTGAATCAACGGAACCGTCACAAGAAGAAAACGTTAGGAAATGTTCGCGCGGAAGAAGGATGACAGAAAAAGGATTAGACTATCGCAAACAGTTGTTAGAAAGAGATCGCAATTCGGCTTTGAAAATATGGAAGGATCAGCTCCAGACAGCGAGGTCATTAATTTCGACCTCGGATGACGTAAGAGTCCTACAACGAGAAGTCTTTAAGCTGGAAACACGAATGGAGGATCTCACTAAAGTGAGTCATAAACTAAACGACCTGCAAGATCCCGAAGAAAGATCTAAGGACATGGAAGATCACGGAATGTGGCTACACGAAAACATGGAAGTTACCAGAAGCCTGAATATCAAGATATGCGAGTTACAATCCGATGTGAACGATAGAGTCTCCTTCTATTCAAAACGTTCTCGTCGAAGTAGGTCGTCGAGTAAATCTAAAAACTCCAGCTTCTCTATCCCAATAAGAGCGCAAATGATGGCAAGAGCTGCCAGACTTGGCGCAGAACTCAGATTCCATTATATAGAAAGAGATAAGGTGGCCGCTTTAAAACGACAAGAAGAAGACATCAAGAAACTGCAAATAATGAGGGAACTAGCAGCCACTAACGCCGAACTTGAAGCAGTAACTAAAATCGAAGAGGAGGAATTCGGTGTTACTATAAATAAGACCAACGATCTTGGACTCCCAGAAGATGACGCCCATAGCCGTATCGAGGAATACCTAAAGTCACAATTGCAGTCCATTACTGACGAATCGTCTCCCGAAGCTACCGCTAAAACAAAGGTCGTATCCACAACGATGTCGGAAGTGGTCGCCAGGCCTCTGGATTCCAAAACGCCCCCTCCACTTCAATCTCAAGATCG